TTTGATCCATTTTGAAGTAGTTTTTGTATACGGCGTGAGGTATGGGTCCTGTTTCATCTTTTTGCAGATGGATATCCAGTTTTGCCAGCACCATTTGTTAAAAAGACTGTCTTTTCCCCATTTGATGGACTTTGGGCCCTTGTCGAAGATCGGGTTACCGTAGGTGGATGGATTTACATCTGGGTTGTCAATTCTGTTCCATTGGTCAATGTATCTGTAATTGTACGAGTACGAGGCTGTTTTGACTACTGTAGCTGTATAGTAGGTTCTGAAGTCAGGTAGTGTGAGTCCTCCAGCTTTCTTCTTCTTCAGTAGTGCCTTAGTTATTCGGGGCTTCTTCCCTTTCCATATAAAGTTAATGATTAGTTTTTCCATCTCTTTGAAGAATGTTGTTGGTATTTGGATCGGGATTACGTTGTATTTGTAAATTGCTTGGCGTAGAATTGTCATTTTCGCAGTGTTGAGTCTGCCTATCCATGAGCATGGTATGTTTTTCCATTTATGTAGATCCCTTTGGGCAACAATTGATTTTTATATTTAGACCTTGGTCCAGCCGTATATTCCATTTATATCTTAGGGAAGGCTTATTATCTCCCTTTTGGGAGTGACTTGACCGAAGAAGGGAATTTTTCTCGCTAAATTAATAGTGTATTTCTGAAGTATGTGTGTCTGTTCTTTATTCTGCCTGCTTTCAACTCCACTTTTGGAGCATTACCAAGAAAATAAATGCCCCAGGGAAACTTTCAGTGGAATTCATCGAAAATATTTTGCGAACTGATTTTGTTATCAGTATCTAAGTTTAACGTTCAGATTAAGACCTAAAAGGAAACAGACAGAAGGTAGAGCATAAGAAAATGCAATAAGTAGAGTTAGAACAAAAGAGGAATGTTTTTAAAGAGCATAACAGCAATTTTAGAAAGGAACGCTGTTGAAGACTTTATGAAACAGTGAAACCTCGAGAGTAAGGGGATGAAAAGAAAATCCAATTTGACATTTTTAACGAGTAATATAAATTACGTTATACCTGGACTACAAACGTTATTTTTTGTTTTTTTAGTCATGTATTGAAAGCATCTAACATTGGTTATGGCTTTGATTTTATGTATGTTTATGGACGATAATAGAAATAATCTTTGACTATTAACTGTCCACTCGGATCCTCTCCCCTCTCCTCACCATTTTCTTCAGCAGATCCCAGAGTCATTAAGACATGCTACATGGCAGAGATTGGGGAAGGACAATTCAAGGCAGTTATTAGATACTGCAAAGGTAAGACTAAGTTGCCACTTCTACATATATCTAGGAAAAATGTACAAGCCCTTGGAGCATTTTCCAGTTTATACTAATTTACTACATATTTTACATTTCCTGAGTGTTTTCCCTTTTCGTGTTTTTCTCTTTACTCGTGAGTTGAATAAGAAGGTATGTTTCTGCTTCTAGAAATGGAGGAAGAAAGTCTTTGTATTTTTTTACCTCTAGAGAAATCTGTCAGAATCTCTTGCAGTCAATGTCAGCTAGAGTAATGTTTACAGAAAGCTTTGATAAATGTAGTGGAAGTTATTGAGACTTTAGTTTATCCTGGTAATTTCTATCTAATAATATGGAATGCTATAAGTTTTTCAAGTGAGTGATATTTCTTTACCTTAGAAGATGTTCAGATTGCAGAATACCAAGGGACTCAAAGCTTATTAGAGCCCATGGTGTAAGTGATGCTCAGTTTACATATTGATGAGCATTATTTTACGTTGTAAGTGAAAGATATCTTTAAAAATTCCCTGGTTTAATATGAGCCAAATAATTCTCCATGATAGAGAAGTGCTAGAAAATTAGAAGACAGTCTAAATTCTGAGTACGTCCTTTTTTTTTTCTTTTTAATTTACAAATATTTTCCATTAACATACAAGGAATTGTAATTGATGCAGTAGCTATAGAAATGAATTAGGTATCTCATTATTAAATCAGAATTTAAAGGGAGAAAATGTGTTTAGTCTTCTCATTGTACATGACACTATTAGATTTATTTATACTTTAGTCTTTGTTGAAGACCTCATTATCTTATGTGGTATTCACCAGACTCCTTGATATAGCTTGTTGCTTAGTCTTTTAGAGGAAATAATGTCACAAAGAGACATTGTCAAACTAAAAATCACCTTTTGATGTCTTTCCTTTACAACATGCTTTAAGATTGTTGATCCAAAATTCAGTAACCCATTTATGGCAATTACTTTTGTATCTCAACCAATGAGAACAAGAAGGCACATTTGGTTTTTGTAATTCCATTTTTATAGATTGGCCCAGAGCTGATACTGTTATAATTCAGTATTGATACACATTTGTGTTTGTGAACAATTGCTTTTGTTGGCTAGTTATTGATTATTGTGACTACTGACATCAAGTCCATGAATTTTATTAAGAATTTTTTAATTATGAAAACACTTCAGATATTAACAAGCCTAAATTTTAAGCCTAATTTTTTTTACTGTCTTACTACATTTTTCCCAAATTATTTAATTTTTTGACTTCTCTAATCTGAGCAGTAGTCTTAAGGCCTTTTTCAGTTTTTTAATGCGTTTATAATAGGTAAGATGTTTGCACATTTTCAAAAATAGTTGAGAGATTTGATTAGCTTTATTTTTTAAGCTTATCCAGCAAGCATTGAAGCATACCCTGCCCTTATGCAAGACACTGTGCTATGTATCCACAAAGATAACAGAGACTGTTCCTAATTGTAAGAAATATTCAGTATAAAATGAAAAACAGAAACATGTATGCAAATGACTATAGCTTAAGAGAGACTGTTAAGTATTAGAAACTTTGTTTCTGGATATGTATATGAATCAGAATAATAATAAAAGAGTCAGTTTTGTGCTCAGCTATGTTAATTATAAAACAAAAGTATATATACATGAAAAGCAAGTGGAGTATAATTAACTGTATATTGTATTTTGCTTGCCAATGGTGGAGTAACAGATTACCAGCACTAAAGTAGTGACTGACAGTAAAAAAGCCAGTATAAGTCAAATAGAAGTGTAATACAAATTAAATCTTTTAAACATTAATTTCAAAGTCATTCTAAGTAACTTCCGAGAATTAAGGTTTGTTAAAGAGGTATTTCTAATTATCCTCGGTTTATATGCTTTAGCAAATTATCCAGCTTTTTAAAGATCTGAAATTCTATAATAGTTAATGAACTTCTTGGTCTTATCTTCAACTAGGCTCTCCAGGCATGGCCACTGATAGAAAAGCGGACATGTTGGCATGGTCATGCAGGAGGAGGACTCCACACAGACCCAAAAGAAGGGGTAAGAGACAATAACAAGTAACAGGAAATTCTTGTTGATGACTGTGCTTTCAAAGAAGGTATATGTTTAAGAGTTTTATGTTCCAAAGTATTTTGATTGACTCATATAACTGCAGGTTTTCTAATGTAAAACTTATTATTTGACCAAGGTTAGTTATATAGGTGATACTTTCACAGGCTTAAAACAAATAAAAAATTATTATTCACTACAAAAGAAAAAACTTCTATAAATTATCAACTCAAACCTTTAGTTCTTTAAAATAGCTTTGGTTGAGATTATTATGTAATGTAGCCTTATAAATAAGTGGATTAATTAGATTTAGCACTTACAAGTAATTTGTGTGTGTGTGTGTGTGCATGCATGTGCCTGTGTTTTAAGATTAATTTTTCCTTTTCTATACACTTAGTATAGAAAGATCCTAGGATATCTCCCAACTTCATGGTAAATCCTCCATCTACCTGATCCATTTACTTAATTATCCATATTCTTTCTTTTTCTTTGTGGTGGAAATACACACCAAAACATTGGCCAATATAACAACTTCCACGTTTATAATTCACTGACATTGATTACATTTTTCATGCTATACAACCATTATTGCTGTCCTTTTCCAAAATATTCGACCACCATCAACATAAACTCACTGTCCGCCCCCCACCAAAAAAAATCTCCCCATTCTCTCCCATGCCTGGTAACCATTAATAGTCTTTGGTTTATATATATTTGCTTACTTTACGTAAATGAGATCATACAGTATTTGTCTTTTTGTGACTGACTTAATTTTGCTCAGCATGATGTTTTCAGGGTTCATCCACGTTGTGGCATGCATCAGAACTTAATTTCTCTCTGACTGCATAATATTCCATTGCGTGTATATAGCACATTTTGTTTTCCATGTATCTGTCGATGGACGTTTCGGTTGTTTCCATGTTTTGGTTGCTGTGAAAAGTGCTGCAGTCAACATTGATGTACAGGTTTTATCCATGATTTTTATCATTATCATGATTGTTATCATTATACAGACATGCTAAACACTAAGGCCACTGATATAAAAAGATTTAATTGCAGTATATACTTTTTAAATCTATTGTACCTCTCTCTGCGTTTTGATTGGAAAGTTTAATCCTTTTGCATTGAAAGTAATTACTGATAAGGTACAACTTAATTCTACCATTTTGTTGTTTGTTTTTTGTGTGTTTTGTGCCTCTTTTGCCCTCATTTCCTCCAATATTGCCATCATTTGTGTTATTTTATTGTGAATCTTTTTGATTCCCTAATCTTTTCTTTTTATGTGTATTTTTTAGATATTTTCTTTGTAGCTATCATGAGGATTTTATTTAACTTTTTAAATTTATAACATCCTAGTTTGCAATAATACCACCTTAACTTCAGTAGGAGCCCTGGTGGCACAGTGGTTAAGAACTTGGCTGCTAACCAAAACGTTGGCAGTTTGAATCTACCAGCCACTCCTTGGAAACCCTATGGGACAGTTCTACCCTGTCTTACAGGATCACTATGAGTTGAAATCGACTCGACGGCAACAGGCTTGGTTTTTTAAAAATTTTTTTTAAACTTCGGTAACATACTAAAACTATTCCTATACCACTATCCTATCGTCCATGTACTTGTTATTATAAATTACATCTTTATACGTTATGTGCCTAATAAATTTATAATTATATCTTATGTATTTGTCTTTTGGAATCATGTAGGACATAACTACTAAAGTTACAAACAAAAAATGTCACGAAACTCGTCCTTTATTTGCCTATGAAATTACCTTTAATGGAGATCTTTCTTTTCTCCCTAGAGCTTTGAGTAATTGTCTAGTGTCCTTTCAGTTCTATCTGCAGAACTCCTGTTGGCGTTTTTTTTCCAATGCAGGTCTAGTCATCACAAATTCTTTCAGCTTTGTTTGAGAATGTCTTAATTTTGCCTTCATTCTTTAAAGACAGTTTTGCCAGATATAGAATTCTTGGTTGACATTTCTTTCAGCAGTGTAGATATGTCATTCCACTACCTTTTGCCTTCCAAGGTTTCTGAGGAGAAATTGTACTTAATCTTACTGAGGATCGCTTATGTGTGATGATTCACTTCTCTAGTTTCTTTCAGGATTCTCACTTTGTTTTTCAAGAGTTTGATTATAATCTGTCTTGGTGTGGATCTCTTTAGTTTATCCTACTTGGCGTTCGTATAGCTCCTTGGATTTGTAGCTTCATGTCCTTGGTCAAATTTGGGAAGTTTTCTGCTGTTATATCTTCAAATATTCTTTCTGTCCTTTTCTCTCTCTTATTCCTGGATCCCCATGATGGGTGTGTTGGTTTACTTGATGATATCCCACAGTTCGTTAGGCTTTGCTCAGATTTCTTGATCCTTTTCTCTTTTTGCTCTTCAGACTGAATAATTTCAATTGCCTTATCTTCTAGTTCACTGATTTTTTCTTCTGTCAGCTGAAATCTGCTGTTGAGTTCTTCCACTGAATTTTTTATTTCAGTTATTTTATTTTTCAGTTCTAGTATTTCTGTTTGCCTTCTTTTTTATAGTATCTATCTCTTTGGAAACACGGATGACGTAGTGGTTAAGAGTTACAGCTGCTAACCAAAAGTCGGCAATTCGAATCCACTAGGTGCTCCTTGGAAACCCTATGGGGCAGTTCTACTCTGTCCTATAGGGTCGCTATGAGTAGGAATTGACTCAGCGGCAGTGGGTTTTGTTTTTTTTTAATCTCTTTATTAATCTCATTTTGTTTGTGTTTTGTTTTTCTGATTCTCTAGTTCTTTGTGTTTTCCTTTAGTTAGTTCTTTGGGTATTTAATATTGTTTTAAATTCTTCTGATCTGTCCATGGGAGCCCTGGTGGTGCAGTGGTTAAGCGTTTGACTGCTAACCAAAAGGTTGACAGTCCGAATCTACCAGCTGCTCCTTGGAAATCCTATGGGGCAGTTCTACTTTCTCCCATAGGGTCAGTATGAGCTGGAATCACCTTGACAGCAACGGGTTTGGTTTTTGTTTTGGTTTAATTTGTCCATTATTGGGGCTTCCATAGAGATAGTTTCTCTCCCTTTATCTTGATCTTTCAAACGGTCCATTATTTCCAGTTTCTTTGTGTGCCTTACGATTTTTTGTTGAAGGTAGCACATTTAGCATATTACAATATGTTAGTTCTTCATATCTGTGTATATACCCAGTGCCTTTGGAAGTGCTAATTTCTACAAGAGACTCTGAGGCAGTCACAGCCTTCAGTTTTTGCTTACTGCTTCCTTTCTTATTGTATGTGAGCTCTGATTCAGGCCAGACCATGGCTTCAGTCCTTCAGTTCCAGACAGATCAGAACAGACACACTGATCAGTCCACCATCAAAGTCTACCCTGTTTACTTCAAAGGCAGAAATCAGGCCTCCTGTCTGAGAATGCAAGCTGTATTTTGCCTCCACTGCATTCACTGTTTAGGTGGTGGTAGGGGAAAGGACTGAGACAGCACAAAAAGTTTTGTCAATGTTGTAAAGTCAGTTTTTTCTTGTTTCTGTGTGTGGTCAGCTGTCGCAATCCTTTGCTTACTTTTCAAAGTTGAGATTTTCTACAACATTGAGATTGCAGATTTCTACTTGCTTTTCTTGGTGCTCATGTGGGAGGGTCAGGATTTTAGACCTGCTCATGCCACCATATCCCCAGAAGTCAACATACTCTTTTTATGCTAGAAACACATCCTCATTGATTGGAGACAGAAGTTAGTGGTTTTAAAAAAACATTACCACCATTACCACTTACTAGAGGAATCAGAGAACTTTAGTATAAATCTTGATGTAATCAGAAGAAGTGAAACAGCGGCTTGATATATTAAATACTGGAGGATTAGGAAGATAATAGACTAACGAGTCTCCAGGCTTGACAAAATAAGTGAGCACACACAGACCAGTGTCCAAGAATACCAGGTTTACATTTGGAGGTTGTTTTCTAGCTCTGAATTCATATACCATTAGGCAGCCTTCTGATCTTCATTTGATTTCTAAAATTGACTTCCTTTGGTGATAGAAAATTCACTGATTGGTCAATGCAAATATCAGTCTCCTTGGCAGTTACTTTTTATTGTAAATTATTAAATTGACCGTTGAGTACAAATTCATCTCATGTAGCATGAGCCATTTTTTCTTATGGTCTAATCACCACTGGTTAAGCTCTTCTTTGAGGTTTCAGACCAACAGAGCTTGGAGAACAAACACTTCGGTACAGAGAAGTAACAATAATTGCAAAGCTTTTCCTAACAATTAATGCATCCTTTCCTCTTCCATCCATAAATGCACTATACTTATATGCCGAGTAATGTGGTAAGTTTTCCAGTTGCTTCTCTGGATGTTTTAGTTAGAAATCTACTCAACTTGCTTGTCTTTTTTTGAAAAGTGGCTTTCATCAATCCTTTATTATCCCTAACAGGATTTAAGTAGTGGTTAAAATTATTTCTCATATTGCTTGAGTCGAGGAGATGTTCTCTTCTCTGAACAGTTTGCTTATCCCAGAAATCGTGGGCATTTCCAAGTGGCATAGTGGTTAAGAGCTTGACTGCTAACCAAAAGGTTAGCAGTTCAAATCCACCAGCCGCTCCTTGGAAACTCTATGGGGCAGTTCTCCTCTATCCTATAGGGTCGCGATGAGTCAGAATCGACTCGACACCAACGGGTTTGGTTTGATTTTAGTTCCAAATTCTCTGCTGAATTAGTCCTTTAGGTAGCAAACATTTGGCCTATAGCCAAATGTTTTGTTATACAAAAAAAATAGCCTTCCAAAATTTTTTTGTATATTCTTCCTTTCCACTAGTTTTGCCCCCCAAGTACTTTTTTTTGGTTATGGTTGTTGAGAACATACACAACAAAACATACACCAATTCAACTGTTTCTACATGTATAATTCTGTGACATTGATTATATTCTTTGAGTTGTGCAACCGTTCTCACTCTCGTTTTCTATCTAATTTTTCAAGTTGCTATTATCAGTTTGATCCCATATAGA